TCGAATCTTTCATTGTCTAGTTCCGATCTTTTCGCGAGAATTTTGACGTGTGAAAAAGCTAGAAACGGGTCGCGATAGTGTTCTTGTCTCAATTGTATCCTATAGGCGAGTGGCAAGCCCTCGCAGAAAGATCGTGCTGTTAAGGCGTCGATTTCGTTTACTGATCCGACGGATAGCATTCCTTGCGCTCGGCGTTCCGCGTCCGTTATAGAAGATCGCAAGTCTTTTACGCGGCTAATGAAATCAAGGATATGCTCGTTTGGTTTAAGGTAAATTGTGCTCAGCTCCCCACGATACTGGTCGATGGTTTTCGGGGATCCGAAGGCTCCATTCAGGAGGTCGGCAAGTTGAGTTATCGTTTCGCACTCTTCGTCTTCTACGGCGCATATAGCTCGCCCGCGTAACTTAGTAAGAAGTAGGCGGGTTAGGTTTCGCTCGGACGATGGTGGGAATATTTCTTTAGCGCGTCTACATGCTCGTATAAATTGAGAGAGGGGGATATTTCGACCGTCGAATGGCGGGATAGTCTCAAGTGCTTCCCTGAAAGACACCCTTGGACTATCATAATTGGTTCCGTGTTGGAATGCGGGAGACGCCTGTTCGTCGAGAAAGCGTCCCGCGGTGCTGGGAATATATTGCGTAGGTATCGTATTGTTCCCGCGCATGGAGTTTATCTCCTGGCGTAATCGTTCGATTTCTTGGAGCATATGATCGCTTAAGTCGGGTTTTTCGGTTGCTACCATTGTGATGGAGTTCAAACGTTTTTCCATCTCCGTTTCTTTACTCACGAGGTTACTGCGGATGATTTCGAGGTCTTCTTCCGAAGCCCGTTTTTCGCGTTCGAACGTTTCTTTCTGCTGTTGAAGCATCTCGGATTGTTCGCGTAACCGTGCTTCCTTGGCATGTAATTGAGCGCGAAGTTCGTCTATTTCTACTTCAGTGAGCTTTTTCGTACCCGATTTCCCTCGTGTTTCCATCGCAAATATTAACTCGTATCCCACCGCTGTCACCAAATTTTGTTACGTCTCGTGGGGTCGCGGCTGCGAAAATTTGAATGCAGAGCTCGGCTTTTTCCACGAGACACGATCGCTATTACGGGTACGCGAATCTATGCGATTCTCCCCGGGGATACCCGCGATCTGAGGTTATTCGCGCTGGAACTGAGGTGATCGGATTATTGCGAGGGACCTACCTGTGACTCTACTGTAATAAAGATAGCTTCGTCGATTGCTCTATGCGAAACGTCGTTGGGGTTGCGTAAATAATCTTCGTACGTAAACTGACAAAGCTCGCACAAATCACCGATTCGCGTGAGGGTAAGTCGGAAGTTGCAGACTCCGCAATTTATTCCGATAGGTGTTCCGCCTATGATTAGAGTATGCTTCCGAATCCTTGTCCAAAGTAATTTCGAGACTCTAGGTAAGGTGGAGTAGCATGAAATGCAGAGAGCTGCCTTAGTCTCAAAATGGATGTACCCGACACCAACTTGGCAATAGAATAAGGGTTCAAACGGTACGAAGAGATTAACTTCTGGAGGAGGAGTTATACCTCTAAGGGTGAGTGGGCACATTTGTGTTTGTTGCGTAATCGAATTGATAATGCGTCATTCGCTCGTAGATCTTCGGTGAACCCGGCAGTTATCGAGAAGTTAGTAGTCGTCGGCAAAACCGTCGGTAATTGTTCAGTAAAACACTGGTAAGGTGCCAGTAAGGTGTCGATAACCCGTTGGTAAAAGAACGTATGTCGGTATATGGTTGGTAATGTCGGTATAAGAACGTATGTTGGTATATAGCCGGTAATGTCGGTAAAAGAACGTATGTCGGTATATTGTCGATAACGTTGGTAAAAGAACGTATGTCGGTATATCGTCGGTAATGTTGGCAAATCGAAAGTGTTCTCAATTGATTATTGTTTAAATGACTACTTTGTTGTACGGATTTACGAAGTTATTTCTTGAGACACAAGATTTTTAAGAGATTGAACTATTTGCGTTTTTCCGTGTTAGAATTCCGAGAGTGGCACCGCATGTGGTGGTCGACCCTAGTTTTATAGCCCGACCTTTTTTTTATAGCTTCCGCAGTGACGATGGAAAAGAGGAAAAATGCGTCGGAGATTTTTCTAGAATGTTCTCTTCCACGTGGTAGAAGCGTCTCTGAATTTGCTAACACGCGCGATTCCTTAGGTTAACGTGAATTTCACTTACCTTTAGTAGCACTTTCTTGATCGTGTCGGCTCGTACTTGGAGGTAGTGCGTGCGGCGAGGGTCGTTCACTGGGATGTTTGGCGGCGGCAGGCGTCGTGGTTGGAACGTTATTGGTATGCACTTCCACTGTAGGAGTTCGTCGTTGTTATTATTTTTAATGTTGAAAATGTTCTCGTATTCAGGATCGGCCTGATATTCCACTCCGAGGAATTGAGAATATTCTTCGGTCGCTGATTCGCGATAAAGTCGGTTTAGTTTTCGTAATTGATTCTTCCTTCCTGCGCGTCGCGTCTTAGGCATATTGAATTTGATGCATCCTCTGAATGATTACTCAAATAAGGAGGGTTGATATGCGGCGGACCTCACTATCAATTCCTTATTTTGGCAAATGCTGAGAATGTTAATTCTGACTGTGATGAGCGGTGGTCCGCTCCAAACACAGTTTGAATTATTCTGAATTCAAACGCCGTATGACAAATTTAAAACGCTATCGTATTTTATCACGGGAGTGGAAGTTTTGAAGAATACTGAACACTAGTTTTCACACATGAATACACTGATTTATTCGTATAGTAGTACAAAATTCGAGACTAAAACTTAGAATTAGAATTTAGATTTAGACTTAGAATTTAGAGTTAGAATATTATACTTAGAGTTAGAATTTTAGAATTAGAGTTAGGATTTAGAATTTGGACTTAGAGTTAGAATTTAGGAGTGCGACTATACTGTTCGGTGTCGCGCAGAGAACTGCCGAAATTCGGGACTGCTCTGAGGTCCTTCGTTTCGGCGGCTCGGGCCTGCGGCGGCCTGGAGAGGGGGAACTCTCCGGAGTAGGGGCTCTCACCGTGGTGGGAGATCCTTAGGCGCTACGAAGCGCCACGCTTAGTTTCTAGGCGGAGTTAAGCGTCATGGCCGGCTTTGGCGCGCTTTTCAAATAGCGTTTAAGGAACTTGGAGTAAACGAAAAAATTTATACGGCCGGACGTGACATGCGCAGGATGGGTAACGATTTAAGCCACGTGCCGAATCGAGAACCAGAATACGGAATTATATGCACAAATTACACAAAAACAATCCATTTATTAACTAAATTTGTCCGAGAGTCACAATGTACATAAACGCAAATTAATTTGAAACCTTTACATAAAATCTTTATCTATTAACGAATAAAATAGTCACCGCGAAAACACGTATGACGTGGTTGTTAAGCAGTCCGAAATGTCTCACTATATGGTATCTAGCATGTGTTGCATGGACACCACCGAAAAACTATTTGTTGCATAACAATTGCTAGTTACGATGAACACGCTCGAAACTCGTGTATCGAATCGTTCGAAATCTCACATTAAGATTTCGTACACGTTGCCGATTGCGGCGAATGCGATATTAAATCGCGAACCGAAATGTTTCAATTAACATGGAGAATCACTGATCACATAAATGTTACAGTGCGTTGAGCACCACGGGCTCGAAGGGATGAAAAAAAGGAACGCAAACACAATCACGACATCAGGTATCAGTCCCAGATGACTGATCACGTGATCTGCGCGCTCCAACTCACGTGATCTACGCGTGCCAAGCGAACACGCGCGAGCCTCATGTATACAATTATTACGTTCGTGGAAACAATCGGACTTCGGCACCTTGATATTTCACCATTGCGTGAATTCTGGTCCCAAATCACTGAATTCCGCTTCGTTAACAATGTTTTGAGCGCAAATTTTATGTCGCGTATATAACGGCGCACCTTGTTGCTACCGTTAATTAGCGAATGTCAAAGTGAACGTATTTCACATCTCACTTATCACTGAATCACAGCAGAATATCAATCTGATTATTTTTTTTATTAATCAAACGAACTACGAACAATTAGAATCGCGACGGAAAACCCACATGTGACTAATCGCAAAGCCGTGCCAGGAGCGAATGCCCAGGTTCGATGACGAGGCAGTTCATCCCCGATCGATTCGATAATCGAACGCTTGAAGCGCGGCGTGTAGGTTCAGTGCGTGCTGCCCCGTGCCGGATTAACTCAAAAATTATAGAATTTCAAATTATCGACCTACTTCTTCATTCTCTTTGAACAAATAATAAAGTTCTTGACCTGGGGTCAACTTACTTCTGAACATACCGCCCGCCTCGAAATAAAGATTTCGAAATGTCTTACAGTAACTAAAGAACTTACCCCAGGTTTGGGTTTTTTTTTTGTTACATAAAGAAAAAAAAAGAAAAAATAAAACGTTAATCGCTTAATGATTTTTCGAGTGAGATTCAGTGATTACATATTGAACAATAACAGGCATTTGGTTGCTTACATGATTGAATAACAATATTAAGACATAGATTCTTACTAAACTTACATTAACGCGACGCGAGTGGTCTTGAGTAGTCAAGGATATTGAGCGCCGCCCGCCTTAACTAACTACGAAGGACTTGACTTGTCCTAATTATGCGAACGATTGAGACGTTGCATGCGCATTATGGAGTTGGGTTTTCCGCAGTACCTGTCTTACGTTCCGACAGTTGATCGATTAAGTTAATATCGATAGGTAGTAGGCACAATTTAGTTACTGGTCGCTTGTATTCGGACGTCGCTGTTTTAACTGAGACGACTCGAGTTAACCCGTCAGAGCCCGGATGACAATGAATAACTCGCCCTAATTCCCATTTACACGGTGGGAGAAGGGGGTTTTGAATCAAAACCATTGAGCCAACCTGAATCGGAGGCGTTTCTCGACGCCACTTTGATCTTTGTTGAAGAGTATTGACATAATCTGACTGCCACTGCTTCCAAAAACGCTCCGTAATCTGTCTGAGTAATTGCCATCGCGACAATCTGTTTTCGTTCAATTGTAGAACGGAAGGTTCCGGATTCGTAGTAATGGCAGTCCCAATCAAAAGGTGACCTGGGGTCAGGAACTCGTAGTCATCTGGAGTATCATTGAGTGGAGAAAGCGGCCTTGAGTTGAGGATAGCCTCAATTTTGCACAACACTGTCGTGAACTCCTCAAATGTCAATGCGTGTGAGCTTACAATTCGACGAAGGTGGTGTTTGACACTCTTCACTCCTGCCTCCCATAGTCCTCCAAAATGAGGAGCATGAGGCGGGATGAAACTCCAAGTGATCCTATCTGTTGCGATTAAATTGAGAAAATCCGTATTGCGTTGAGCATCCCGATACGCGCGGGATAGCTCTTTATCGGCTCCTGTGAATGTTGTACCGTTATCCGAATACATAACTGCTGGCAAGCCTCGTCTGGCGCAAAATCGTTGAAATGCGTTCAAAAATGCTGGCGTTGAATAATCGCTGACCAACTCGAGATGAATGGCTCGAGTTGCCAAACATATGAAAACGGCTATGTAAGCCTTTCGTGAGGTGATTCCTCGACCAGCAGAGGCTCGAATGAGCACTGGACCGGCATAATCGATGCCGCTGTGCAAAAACGCCCTCGTTGGCGTTGAGACTCGAGTTGATGGGAGTTGACCCATTAACTGATTGGCTACCTGAGCTCTTTCTCGCGTGCATCGAACGCACCTGTAGATAACTGATTTAACTAAAGGCCTAGATTTTATAATCCAAAATTCTTGGCGAATTTTAGACAGGGTAGACTGAAGACCGGCGTGCAGCGAGGCTATGTGCGTGTAGCGAATGAGCATTGTAGTAATTGGATGATCAGCTAGTAGAACTGGATGTTTGGATTGAAATGGTAGATGAGAATGCTCCAATCTTCCGCCAACGCGGAGTAGACCATTTGCGTCTAGGAATGGATTTAATGATATCAGAGCGCTGTTTCTTGATAACCTCTTGTTTGACTTGAGTAAGTAAAGTTCTTGCTTGAACACCTCTGCTTGAATCATATGCAACCAAAAGTTACGAGACTGCATGTACTCAAATGCTGTAATGGCGTGGGACCGGACGTGATCTTTGTGATCTGCCGCGTGCTTCCGTTGACATTTGTTTATGAATCGGTATATATATGCAGTGACGCGTATCAATTTTGGCCACCATGAATACCGTGCAGCAAGACTCCAGTCTTCACGAGTACTGTTTTGATGAGCTTCACATGCCTTCAGTTCCAACTGAGTTTCGTGGTGCTCTGATAGAATTTGATGAGGCCACTCATCAGAATGAAGATGCAACCATGACGGCCCATGCCACCATAGGTTGATGGATATCAAATCTCGGCCGAGTAATCCGCGCGAAGCACAGTCTGCGGGGTTTTCACTGGTGTTTACGTGATGCCAACTACCGGTTGGTAATCGTGTCTGAATTTCGGCTACTCTATGAGCTACGAAAGTTTTCCAATTTGAGGGGTGCTTCTTGAGCCATGCGAGAACTACAGTGGAGTCTGTCCAACAATAAATCGCAATGTCGCTTAAATGAAGTGACTGCTTGATAAAGTCAATCAAGCGAACTAGCAGAACGGCAGCAGAAAGTTCGAGGCGAGGAACCGTCATTGGTTTAAGAGACGCGACTTTAGATCGCCCAGCAATGAGCGAGACCGTAATTTTCCCAGAGGAGGATGTCACGCGTAAAAACACCACTGCTGCGTAAGCGATTGTGGATGCGTCCGCGAACCCGTGTAATTCCACAGTTGCCGTTCCGGACTCAAAACCTGTCCAGCGACTCAGTTGAATTTTTCGTAGATAGGGTAATGACTCGTAGATAGACTTCCAGGATGATAAGATTTCGTCCGGAATAATGTCGTCCCATCCGATACGGTGTCGCCATAATTGCTGCATGAGAGTTTTCGCCTTTAAAATCGCAGGTGTGACCCACCCGAGCGGGTCGAATAATCTTGCTATTGTTGATAGAATTGCTCGTTTGGTGTTAGGAACAGTTTCAGATAATGTAATTTGAAACTGAAAGCAGTCATGTTTCGGGTTCCAGACAATACCGAGGATTTTTAGACTGTCATCAGTCTCCAAATTTTTTGCGTAAGCCAATCCATGATTGTCAGGCTGAATATCTGAAAGCAATTCTGAGTGGTTACTGGCCCATTTCCGGAGATCGAAACCACCACGGTTCAGCAAATTACAAAGTTGAGTGCGAGCTTGCTTTAACAGTGTGATATCGTCTGCACCAAATAATACATCATCGACGTAGATGTTTTCTCTTAGGATGGGAGAGGCTAACGGAAATGAATCTCCCTCGTCACAGTTCAATTGTTGGATTACTCGAAGAGCAAGAAACGGTGCTGACGCAGTGCCGTAAGTAACGGTAAGGAGTTGATATTCCTGTATAGTTGAGTTGTGGTCGACCCACAGTATCCGTTGGTAGTCTCTATCTCTAGGATCGATTAATATTTGGCGATACATTTTAGCGATGTCCGCAGAATATACATATTTATATTGCCTCCAGCGCAATATAACTGCTTGTAGATCGGACTGCAATTTTGGGCCGGTGTACATGTGAAAGTTGAGAGACGTTCCATTGGATGTGAGGCAGGAGGCGTCGAACACGACTCTTAAACGGGTTGTCGAACTTGTCTCCTTGATGACTGGATGATGAGGTATATAGGTCGCTTGAACATTATTTGAATGCAAAGGAGCGACTTGCTTCATATGATTTAATTGCTCATATTCGCGCATGAAGTCCAAATATTCTTGTGCAAGTGTGGGTTGACGAGCAAATTTACGAATTAGCGACGAAAGTCGGCGTTCAGCTATGCTGCGAGAGTCGCCTATTTTAATAGGCGGGCCCTCTTTAAAAGGGAGTCGCACGACATATCTGCCATCTGCTGTTCTAGTATGCGTGCGTTGAAAGTGATCCTCGCATTGTTTATCTTCTATGGACGCATGAACATGTTGAGGAGTTTCTTCAACCTCCCAAAACTTACATAATTGCCGTTCCAAGGAGCAGCAGTGAGCAACTGCATGATACCTTTGTTGTGAACTGGGTAATGGTGAGCCTTGAGGTTGGGCTCCGACATGCGATGAAACCAAAGTAGAGCCGACTACATGGGTGTTTTGTATGACATGATTAGGGATTGACGTAGGTCCAGATAGAATCCACCCGAAATGCGATTGTATAGCGTCTGGTTGACCTATGGGTCCATTGCGTATATTGACAAGAACCTTGCTATACAAATCAGCTCCAATAATGAGGTCAATAGGAGTTGATCCAGTCGGATCGTCATCCGCTAAGGTCAAGTTGGAGATGTGTTTCCAGTCACGTAATGACGAAGCGTGTCTGGGAGCATACTTCGTCAATGCTCTCATGATGTAAGCTACCGTGGTGAAGGTTGGCTCAGGTTTATCGCGAGGCGAAATATTAATTAACGCGGCAGATCGGCATGTACCGGTATCTGCACAGCTAATCCCCGAAGTTGAAGTAAATGTTTGCATACGAGGTAAGCGTAAAATTTGCGCTACGCGTTCCGTAAGAAATGTGAGTTCTGAACCACCGTCAAGTAAGGCTCTGACAGTTAAGGAACGTCCAGAAAGCGAATGTATTTTCACCGTTGCCGTAGACAACACCACAGGAGTCGGTGATGTAGTTAACGTGACCGCTGAAAGCGCTGTGACATTTGATATATTAGTAACATTCTGCGAACTCGATGACGCAGGAATGCTCGTTGTTTGTTGCAATGAGCCCGAGTCAACGTGGATCATTGTGTGATGCCGCTTGCTACATTTGCGACACGTGAATTTACTCTGACAATTAAGTGCTACGTGCTTATCGCTTAAGCAATTGAAACATCGCTTAAGTTTCTTTATCAATTCGCGTCGTTGATCCGTGCTCATTGAAAGAAATTGTTGACACTTAGAGAGAAAGTGAGATTGTTTACAAATTGGACATGACAAATTAACTGACGCAGTTGCGGTGGCGCTTGTCACTCTCGAATGTGACTTCGTTTTATCGTGTTCGTGAGGATGGAGTTCCTCAAGCGCTATAGCGCGCGAAGATATGAAACGTATCAAGTCTTTGTACGTTGGAGGATTTTCGTTATCGCTACTCTTCAATTTCCACGCTCGACGCGTAGCAGAATCAAACTTTTGTGAAATGAAGTATACTAATATATCGCTTACAATATCCTCTGCTGTACGATCAAGACGTTTCAATGTCGCTAACGCTTGTTCCGTTTTATCTCGCAACTCGTGAAGTTCTGACGCTGATTCGCGAGTCATCTTTGGAAGATGATATAAGGTCGACACATGTACTTCGATCAACCGTCGTTTGTTCTCGAAACGCGTGGTTAACGCTTTCCACGCGACCTTAAAATTTTCGGCGGTTACTTTGATTCCTGATATCGCATCGCGGGCCGGACCTGTCAAACTAGAGATCAAAAAATGCATACGAGTGAAATTTGACAATTCTTTGTTATCTATAATCAACGACTGAAAACGGTCGCGAAAGGTCTCCCAATCCTCGTTTTTTCCAGAAAAAGGCGGTAATTTAATAGGAGGGAGATGCTTTAACGAGAATGACGATGCGTCCATTTGCGCAAAAGAAGTTTCGAGGGATGTATCTCGACTTACGACAGGAACCAGGTCTTCTAGACATTCGTTCATATGATCCAGGGCTGATTGATAGAGATCTTCGTGAAGGTCGAATTGATTCTTCTTGAAATAATTAATTGACCCTTGATCATCCTCTGGAACAAGTTGAAGCAGAATGGTGTGATTGTGCACACCTTGAGTCCATTGAGCTTGTAAAGTCGCAATCCGTGAGCGAACCCTTGCGGCCGTCAAATTAGAACGACCAATCTTTTTGAAATTGTCGAGAGCTCGAGCAATTGAGTGGAAGATAGTTTGCTGATTTGCAAGAGCGTCTTCCATTTTGACACTATAGTTGTTTATGAATATGTCACTAACACGATACTTAAACGCGATTACTTGACTGACTGTATCTCGAATCACGCTGCACTTAAATATCACTGGTGTCCTTAATTCAGTGTTCTCGATTCGTCATTACTCTCCCATCCGGCTCGAAGGACCAAAAAATGTTTGCGCGTACGCTCGATTGCTGACGTTGAACGCTCACGCACGAAGCTACGGATCCTGACAATCGGGTTGTAAATCCGATCGTCGATATCGGTCTCGCGTATAGATTGCACAGGAAGATTCAAAGTGGACTGTATCTTAAGGAGGGTGGACGCGCTCCGATTGGTGCGCAGGATGGGTAACGATTTAAGCCACGTGCCGAATCGAGAACCAGAATACGGAATTATATGCACAAATTACACAAAAACAATCCATTTATTAACTAAATTTGTCCGAGAGTCACAATGTACATAAACGCAAATTAATTTGAAACCTTTACATAAAATCTTTATCTATTAACGAATAAAATAGTCACCGCGAAAACACGTACGACGTGGTTGTTAAGCAGTCCGAAATGTCTCACTATATGGTATCTAGCATGTGTTGCATGGACACCACCGAAAAACTATTTGTTGCATAACAATTGCTAGTTACGATGAACACGCTCGAAACTCGTGTATCGAATCGTTCGAAATCTCACATTAAGATTTCGTACACGTTGCCGATTGCGGCGAATGCGATATTAAATCGCGAACCGAAATGTTTCAATTAACATGGAGAATCACTGATCACATAAATGTTACAGTGCGTTGAGCACCACGGGCTCGAAGGGATGAAAAAAAGGAACGCAAACACAATCACGACATCAGGTATCAGTCCCAGATGACTGATCACGTGATCTGCGCGCTCCAACTCACGTGATCTACGCGTGCCAAGCGAACACGCGCGAGCCTCATGTATACAATTATTACGTTCGTGGAAACAATCGGACTTCGGCACCTTGATATTTCACCATTGCGTGAATTCTGGTCCCAAATCACTGAATTCCGCTTCGTTAACAATGTTTTGAGCGCAAATTTTATGTCGCGTATATAACGGCGCACCTTGTTGCTACCGTTAATTAGCGAATGTCAAAGTGAACGTATTTCACATCTCACTTATCACTGAATCACAGCAGAATATCAATCTGATTATTTTTTTTATTAATCAAACGAACTACGAACAATTAGAATCGCGACGGAAAACCCACATGTGACTAATCGCAAAGCCGTGCCAGGAGCGAATGCCCAGATTCGATGACGAGGCAGTTCATCCCCGATCGATTCGATAATCGAACGCTTGAAGCGCGGCGTGTAGGTTCAGTGCGTGCTGCCCCGTGCCGGATTAACTCAAAAATTATAGAATTTCAAATTATCGACCTACTTCTTCATTCTCTTTGAACAAATAATAAAGTTCTTGACCTGGGGTCAACTTACTTCTGAACAGTCGGTAAAAGAACGTATGTTGGTATATTGTCGATAACGTCGGTAAAAGAACGTATGTCGGTATATCGTCGGTAATGTTGGTAAATCGAAAGTGTTCTCAATTGATTATTGTTTAAATGACTACTTTGTTGTACGGATTTACGAAGTTATTTTTTGAGACACAAGATTTTTAAGAGATTGAACTATTTGCGTTTTTCCGTGTTAGAATTCCGAGGGTGGCACCGCATGTGGTGGTCGACCCTAGTTTTATAGCCCGACCTTTTTTTTATAGCTTCCGCAGTGACGATGGAAAAGAGGAAAAATGCGTCGGAGATTTTTCTAGAATGTTCTCTTCCACGTGGTAGAAGCGTCTCTGAATTTGCTAACACGCGCGATTCCTTAGGTTAACGTGAATTTCACTTACCTTTAGTAGCACTTTCTTGATCGTGTCGGCTCGTACTTGGAGGTAGTGCGTGCGGCGAGGGTCGTTCACTGGGATGTTTGGCGGCGGCAGGCGTCGTGGTTGGAACGTTATTGGTATGCACTTCCACTGTAGGAGTTCGTCGTTGTTATTATTTTTAATGTTGAAAATGTTCTCGTATTCAGGATCGGCCTGATATTCCACTCCGAGGAATTGAGAATATTCCTCGGTCGCTGATTCGCGATAAAGTCGGTTTAGTTTTCGTAATTGATTCTTCCTTCCTGCGCGTCGGGTCTTAGGCATATTGAATTTGATGCATCCTCTGAATGATTACTCAAATAAGGAGGGTTGATATGCGGCGGACCTCACTATCAATTCCTTATTTTGGCAAATGCTGAGAATGTTAATTCTGACTGTGATGAGCGGTGGTCCGCTCCAAACACAGTTTGAATTATTCTGAATTCAAACGCCGTATGACAAATTTAAACGCTATCGTATTTTATCACGGGAGTGGAAATTTTGAAGAATACTGAACACTAGTTTTCACACATGAATACACTGATTTATTCGTATAGTAGTACAAAATTCGAGACTAAAACTTAGAATTAGAATTTAGATTTAGACTTAGAATTTAGAGTTAGAATATTATACTTAGAGTTAGAATTTTAGAATTAGAGTTAGGATTTAGAATTTGGACTTAGAGTTAGAATTTAGGAGTGCGACTATACTGTTCGGTGTCGCGCAGAGAACTGCCGAAATTCGGGACTGCTCTGAGGTCCTTCGTTTCGGCGGCTCGGGCCTGCGGCGGCCTGGAGAGGGGGAACTCTCCGGAGTAGGGGCTCTCACCGTGGTGGGAGATCCTTAGGCGCTACGAAGCGCCACGCTTAGTTTCTAGGCGGAGTTAAGCGTCATGGCCGGCTTTGGCGCGCTTTTCAAATAGCGTTTAAGGAACTTGGAGTAAACGAAAAAATTTATACGGCCGGACGTGACACCTCCCCCCTTAAAATAAAAATGTTGGAATTTAATGTTCCAACATTTTGGACTTAGTTTTCTATGCGCTACGATTAGGTTCTTAACTTAACATTGGTTATGTAAATATTTATTTAGTTCGCCGTAATCTTTCATTGGGGGAACACTCGTAGGGTGAGTTTTTGCACACACTTTGCCACTGTCTGATTCGTTAATCGAAGGGGTTTGTTGTGTGGGCAGGGTTAAGGGTGTTTCTTCTTCGTTCGTTGGAGGGGGTTTCAGGTGTAGCAGTTCTCGTCCGTTGTCCTGTTCTCCGTCCGCTGATCTACCAAGGTGTAGGAGGACGTTGGTCACCGAGGTCCAAATGGCTCCGAGTAGATGTAGACTCCATCCGTACACCGAGTGGAGTGCGTACCCATGGATCAGGGTGTCGATTATTAATTTTATCAACCGTACGGTAACGAAGATGCCAAGTACTCCGGCGCTGGCGGATCCGAAGCTTATAAATCCCTTCCATAGCCTGGCTCCGGTATTTTCCGCTATTCGGTCGAGAGATTTCTCGTCTAATAAATTCAGCAAGGAGAAACTGCCTGTAGGAATTT